CAAAATATACGTTTATTGTACATTTACATTACAGTTTGTACAGTTAGTTACATATTACATCTATCAGTGTAAACATTTGTTGATTCCTTGTGCATATTACAGAACACTATTCATTGCTATCCCATTATTACGATACTTCCGTCTTTAAATAATGTTTTACACATTTATTTTACTATAAAATTACATTATACAAAAGATCTGCAGTTTATATTTTTCTTTCATTTTTAAAAAATATAACGGTGTTAACACGTTACAAAGTTTTTTTTTTATGTTTCGAGTGATTTTGGCAGATTTATCTAAACAGAATGACATATAATACGCACAATATGTATATAATAACAATAACTCCAGTGAATTTGTTTGACCTTGGCACAATATAGCTTTTAAATAAAAGAGTAGAGAGTTTTATCAATGGAATTTTTTCATACTGTACAACATATTACTGTGTTCATATTTTTTTCATTATTAGCCATTGATTTCATTTCATTTTTATTTATCATGCTATCACAGTAGTACATTCCATTTCAGATATGATGGTTCATATTGCATAACATAGGTACTATAAATATTGTGACATATCTAGGGACCCAGAAGTCCCTAGATTAATTTTTTATTCAAGTCGGTATGCTATACTGGAATGGTTAACAAATAGTAAACAAGGAAGAGGAATCTGCCATTACTTATGTATTATTGCACACTGCACAGAGTAACTATTTACTTGACTGGTCTTTTGAATTTATAAAACAACCTCGTTAACTTAAATTTCATTGACATAATAATTAATTGTAAGTCATATCGAGCAATATTTATACAAATAAGTCATTTATTTATCTTCAACCATCCACCACGGAGCAGCATACAATTATTGCTTCTATACTCAGTCGTCACAAACATGCCTTTAATCATTATTACGGAAAAATAGTATTTAAGAAGGATATGTTTTATTGGCACGGCTTAGTTGGTTCACATAAAGATTCGAGTTGAATAAGTTAAACTAAACACCACTTTGATTAATACCTAGTTTTAATTTCCTTATTTGGTTATTTATTTTTGTAAAGTCCAATATTGACATTTTATATCTAAAACAAAAGAGGAATACAAGTGTGTATTTTAATTTTTAATACATGTCACGTGCAGCTCGAACGCTCAGCTACATTGATATTATGTTGGCACAGACTGGTGTTGGTGATCCGAAAGGAAATCTTACGTTTCTTTGAATTCCGAATCACATCTCATTCTTGTTATTTAAGAAGAACGTTTTAAAAACAATTGCTACAAACAATTCATACGGTAACACACTCGAATGAGGGTTGTTATGTAAATTGAATCGACCCTGTAAAACTTGAAGCGTAAGCGTGTTTCAGCAATCACACGGCAATTGCTTTTTCTGTAAACACGTATAATCAATGCCTCCGTATATATTGCTGTTGGATACTTTTAACAATATTTCAAGGGAGTTAAACATGTTTAATGTCTATTTTACTCTCTGAACTCATGCATAGTAACCTTAGGAATACTAGACTTAATTAGCTTGGGGTCCCTTTTTTTGGAATGGGAATAGTATAAGTTCTTCGGTAGGAGATTTGGTAGGCCTAACAGTATAGTGAAAAAACCCAATGGATATTTTCCATTGGTTAAAAAAATAAGTGCTTTTTAAATATATATCACCTGCGATGCAATCTGTAATAATTTAAATTGGCTGAATTTGTTGAGCTAAGTGTATCACATTTAGCTAATTATCTGTTTCGACAAAACATCGGAGCATGTGATGTTCACAATGACATTTTTGCCGCAAATAAAAAAAAACCGTTCTTTAGAAAATCCCCGTGTAAATAAGACCTGTCTTTTCGTAAAATAATGTATTTACTATCTCTTTTCAATCATGATCTAACTGTCGTCTTAATACAAACCTTTTTAAGGCTCACATTGATGCAGTATTAGCATCCTATAATGATATCAGTGTCCTACACTACATTTGATTCCTGTCAAAATCCTCATATTAAACTTAGTCAAGCACCATTTAAAAATATATTTGGTCTCCGCTATCCACACAGTTAATGTAACCTTACTAGTTTATGATTGACACTCTAGAGTGGTTTTTGGATGCCTCAATAACGTTTAATATTACAAATAAATATAGATTAAAACTTGTTTTCACCACACTATGATGTTTTTAGCTGTTTTACTTACGTAATTGGTGGCTGAAAATTACGTTATGCTGGCCATGCCAGCTGTCATCGTCTTTTGGGGACCAAGCAGGTTTTTACATTCCTAGGGCCGTAAAATCAGCTGCCCGCTTATTTTCTTGAAACACGAATGCATATTAAATACACAATAAGTATCCATGGCATTGCAGTATAATTGTTTTATTGTCACCGCTGCCTAACCACTATTTATTATTATTTTTGCTGATTCCTCAAATCATTTCTTCACAAAACCTTAAAGTTGTAGCTGTGTTGACATCAGTTTGCATTATTATTGTGGTGAATAGTCGTAATAGAGTATAGTGTGGTGAAAAATAGCGTTCCTACCACGGACCGAAAAAACCACATTTTCGGCCCTAGGTACGAAATATACAATTGTTACCAATACATATTCGTTTGAATGCATTATTTATCCTTTTTTAATATTTAAATTAACAAATTTATAGGTGGTAAAAAATTTGTCGAGCAGTTATTAGGTTTGCTGCCTAAAGTTGAGGATTTAGTCTCAATCCCAGTTACATTATATGCCAACTAGGACCAAACAATAATAGTTATATTAAATATACTAATAGTATTTTAGGTACTTCAGTATTAAACGGAGGCCACATTTTGTCAGCGCGCTGCGGCGGTTATGTTAGGTTGGGTTATCGTAAATATTATGTGTGTAGGACTTTCCTCGCTTCGTTATGAATCGAACGATACTTTCTATTATGATAACCCAACCTAACATAACCGCCGCAGCGCGCTGACAAAATGTGGCCTCCGTTTAATACTGAAGTACCGTATTTTAATTTTATTTTAAGAAAGACACTGTGGCTATAATCTATTGTGGATGTCGTAAAAATATTTTGGAAACTTGACAAGGAAAACACGCTTGATTTGCTCAGTGGCATGTATGAATGATGTATGATGAACTATATTCTAAAAACTCTTTATCCTTTCAACCTGATTTCAACTCTTAAAAAAAATTACCTTACAAATAAACAAAACCATAAAAAAAAAACAGGGCAAACATCTCCTTAACATAAGTATTACGAGAAACTGAAGATATCGACTATGTGATTTTTGTTAGACTATCAATGTCATTTAAAAATCTTAACTCTTAAAGCCTCTACGATATGCTTTTGGAAATAACCTCATTTTACATTGATTGTTTCCATATTCCTTAACATCACATGGATAGTGTATTTTGATCAGCCGTAGCCTCTGATTTATATAAAATTCTGGATTCGAGAACAGTCACTCATGTATTTGTTGTCATCCACTAAATTAACGTGGATTTTGTATCTCCCCCAGCAGTAGCCTCTGATGGATATGGAGTGGTGAAATAAGACCGACGGTCACTCATCAGTTGTTGTAGTAATCGTGGTTGTTGTATAATCCACTAACATCGCGTGGATGTTGTACCTTCCTCAGCAGTACTCTCTGATGGATAAAGATTGGTGAAGTAAGACCGACGGTCACTCATCAGTTGTTGTATAATCCACTGTCGTCGCGTGGATGTTGTATCTTCCTCAGCAGTACCCTCTGATGGATAAAGAGTGGTGAAGTAAGACCGGCGGTCACTCATCAGTTGTTGTATAATCCACTAACGTTGCGTGGATGTTGTACCTTCCTCAGCAGTACTTTCTGATGGATAAAGAGTGGTGAAGTAAGACCGACGGTCACTCATCAGTTGTTGTATAATCCACTAACGTCGCGTGGATGTTGTATCTTCCTCAGCAGTACCCTCTGATGGGTATAGAGTGGTGAAGTAAGACCGGCGGACACTCATCAGTTATTGTATAATCCACTAACGTCGCGTGGATGTTGTATCTTCCTCAGCAGTACCCTCTGATGGATATAGAGTGGTGAAGTAAGACCGGCGGTCACTCATCAGTTGTTTTATAATCCACTAACGTCGCGTGGATGTTGTACCTTCCTCAGCAGTACCCTCTGATGGATATAGAGTGGTGAAGTAAGACCGGTGGTCACTCATCAGTTGTTTTATAATCCACTATCGTCGCGTGGATGTTGTATCTTCCTCAGCAGTACCCTCTGATGGATAAAGAGTGGTGAAGTAAGACCGGCGGTCACTCATCAGTTGTTGTATAATCCACTAACGTCGCTTGGATGTTGTATCTTCCTCAGCAGTACCCTCTGATGGATATAGAGTGGTGAAGTAAGACCGGTGGTCACTCATCAGTTGTTTTATAATCCACTAACGTCGCGTGGATGTTGTACCTTCCTCAGCAGTACTCTCTGATGGATAAAGAGTGGTGAAGTAAGACCGGCGGTCACTCATCAGTTGTTGTACAATCCACTAACGTCGCGTGGATGTTGTATCTTCCTCAGCAGTACCCTCTGATGGATATAGAGTGTTGAAGTAAGACCGGCGGTCACTCATCAGTTGTTTTATAATCCACTAACGTCGCAGGGATGTTGTATCTTCCTCAGCAGTACCCTCTGATGGATATAGAGTGTTGAAGTAAGAACGGCGGTCACTCATCAGTTGTTGTATAATCCACTAACGTCACGTGGATGTTGTATCTTCCTCAGCAGTACTCTATGATGGATATGGAGTGTTGAAGTAAGACCGACGGTCACTCATCAGTTGTTGAATAATTCACTAACGTCGCGTGGATGTTGTATCTTCCTCAGCAGTACCCTCTGATGGGTATAGAGTGGTGAAGTAAGACCGACGGTCACTCATCAGTTGTTCCTATGTTCCAGGAACGTCACGTAGAGTTTGTGGTCTCTGCCTTTACCGAGCATAACTCGATAGCCTCTAGAGGCGTTCTAGAGGTGATGCTGTCGTCACAAGCCGAATCTCTCGTGCCTACTGACAGTTGCATACGTCACCGATGCCGGCGCCAGAACCATTTGAGTCGCACCAAAATACTATAACAAACAAACCAAAGTTTATTTATTTGTTGACTCTAAATAACTTTGCAACATATTAAAGGTGTTGAAATAAAAATTAATTTTTATCATACTGAAATAAAGTTTAATATTGTCGTATAAGGGCTTCAAATCCTCAGGGTATATTCACTCACGCTTTAGTGTGAACTTAGACGTAAATAGAGCTGTATAGCTGCATCTCTGTATTATCAACATACTGACATACAGGCATTGTAGTTAAAGAGTTATCCCTCGCATTAGCAAAGGATTTAGCCACTCTTTAGGCCGAGGATTAAAGTAAAACGATATTTAGCCATAACAACACCAGAGTGTATCGAAATAATTTCCAGTTTTTCTACTTCTTTTACTTTACTCTCCAACGCTAGAACTATCTCTTTTGAGGATATTTGGTTCTTAACCGTGACCTTTTTTTGTAATAAATCTGTCAAATTACTAGTATAGACTGGAAGGAACAACGACATTTGACATTATTTCATTCTGGCAGTGCTTCATTTTGCCCACATTTGTTTTGAAATATGTTTTAAGTCATATATATGTCCCGGTGGCAGTGGTCTACTAGGGACCAAAACAACAGGGTTCGGGGTTTTCTATTATTAAAAAATAAAAACAGTTGTAAGCCTCAATGAATCTAATAGGCTACCATTAGAAAGATGAGGTTATGAGGATGCATTTTCATATATTAAACATTATAGGGCGAGTATTATGTAATGAGAAAAATAGTTTGTAAAAGTAGAGAGTTCAAAAATATACTTTTCGTACAGTCACCCGACAAAGTGGGCTTCCTTGCACAGATTATAGTAGACTACAGAAAGCCTTACTTTGGCGCACAGTTTTTACTTTGGCGCACACCAGTATTCCAACCAAACAACACAAAACAGCGTGATTTTATTATGCACGTAATCCTTGTACGCTTGTAAATAAGTTGGCAACACTTAAAGATATTACGACCACGATCAGCTGGTCAGCTTTTCCCATTTCGTCCAATGTTTGGATTAACCTAACCTAAAATCGTGTTGTACAGAGATTGAAACGCTACAGTCGGAACCACGAGACCAAAATATACCTGCGACTTGTTGGTTAAATGGCCGCCAGATCTACGGCTAAACATGCAAACTTTTATTCTGGACATGTGGAAGAAATATTTGGTTCATTCGCCATAGTCAATGGCTCTATTATACTTGAAAAATAAATCCAATTTTGTATGTAAGCTAAGAGTCTTAACTCTCTCTAACTTAACAACAAAACTCGACTTAGTCTTGGCCGCCACATATTTTGTTTGGATGTTTATACTATTTGCATGGGAATGCATTTTAAAAACTTAATAAGTCCTAATAATCCTAATAAGTTAATAATCCTATGCGACACACGTATGTAGCGTTACTAAAGTATTTGTCAACAAATAGGCCTACGAATAAAATAAATAAAATACCCCCGCCGCAGCAAACCTGCAGACTAAGCGAATTTCCATTTGACTGATTGGATTTACACTGAAATGTCTACTTAAAAATATAACATTTATTCCCGATTTAAATAGAATTAGTTTAACAAGTACTTAGGTTTGCTGCATCAGGGAGGGTAAAACTGTTTTTTTTTTGTAAAATGTTAATAGTTAGTAAGAAATAAAAACATTTTCCAAATTTGATCAAAATATGTTCATAAACAAGCAAACTACAACAGTTTACTCATTCTCCATAAGAATAACATGGGAATTTTAAATTTACAATTTTTTGGAATTTTCTCCGTAACCATTAGGCGCATAATAACGCTTCAATATACTAAATTATTTGTTTTTTGAAGCTCTACAAAATGGTTTGGAAATTAATTGCTAAATTTTATGTTTTTTGGGTCAAAATTGGGAAAAACCTATTTTTACCCCATAAAACCCCCCGTAAACACCCGTTTCCATGGTCCGATCATGCTGGATCGCGAACTCGTTCGAATAGACGTAGGTTTACACGTTTGTACCAAATTTCATCAAAATCGGATCATTTTTGCTCGAGTTATCGTGCTGACGGACATATATATATATATATAAATATATAAATATATAAATATATATATATATATATATATATATATATATATATGAATTTGAACGGATTGTGTTTTTGGCCTCTAGGGACCTCAAAACGAAAAAAAAAATCGGTCCCGCGTCCAGGTCTTACCATGAGTACTACGGTAATAGCTTATTCCCTATATGGGAAATTCGCTAAAAGTGTACAAATTTTGTTTCCCCTTATGCACACATATGTATGACTCTGTGCATAAATCGAGACGCCTACTGAAAACTAAATGATTCATACTTATAACTTTGTTGTCAACTTAAGTCTCTCTTCAGAGAAGTTACAGTTCTTGAAATGTTGCCGTATAACAGAGACACAATTAAATGTGTAGTAAGCCAGCTACAATGTGTAGGCTATAATTGGTTTTTCTTTCCATTGACCAAATTTACTTTTACAAAAACAAATAGCATGCTTAAGAGAAAAAATTGTACTTAGTCTCTATATATCTTATACACATATTGTTACTAGGGCCTATATTCATTATAAGGTAACACAGCTCAATCGTAGTCACACTAAAGCTTAGTTTGTACTCAGGTTCTGCTAGGAAGTTTATTACGTAATGCCCACTTACCAAATTTTACTCCAGTTTAACCTTTTCTTAGTGAGCCTAACCTAAGCAGTTTCACCGATTTCCAACTTCATAACCCACATGTTAACCTTGTTTGCTCACCTGGCTTCGTTTTGCTCGAAGAACCGCTCGATGTCGTCGTCTCATCCTTCTGGGACAGCAAATACAAAGGATTCGTGCGAAAGCTCTGCAAGAAAAACATCATTAGTTAGTATTGTAAGTATGATTTATCATTTCAATATTATAAATGTGAATGTTTATGTGATTGTTGGTTTGTTTGTTTGAAGTTCAATCACGCGTTAACTACTCGTTGGATAGGGCTGAAATTTGGCATTATGATAGCTTAGATTCCCGTTAACTTATAAACCTATTTATCTCAAAAACCATTTTGGTCTCCACTCCAGCGACCCTGGAATTTCCCATGTTAACATTATGAGTATTTATACTTAAAAGAATAAAGAATTGTGTCAGCTGCTTCAACTAAAGAGGTGGTTATATGATTTCCAATAGCATTAAAAAGCCATAAGGTTTACCAACCTTAAGGTTTTATGTGGCAGCACTATTAATTAATTATTTGCTTTATTTTATGACTACTGCTAATTTGAACCAATGAATACAAAACCTTGTGTATTCATTGTTTTAACTAAGCAGCAACAAAAAGCTGTCATACAAAATGAGAACTGTCACAGTAGGATTGTTTACAGTTATGTTTTAATTTATTAATATGGCTAAAAGCATTCAACAGAAATACTTGGTATGGGTTTTGAATGGGCATAGAGTTAAAATGGAAAGATGAGCTTGCTGGATTGAGGAAATATTAGTTTTAACATTTTAAAACTTATTGTTATGTTTTAAATGTTTTTAATTTAGTTCCAATAACTTATTTTTGTGATTGTTGGCGAAACCACTACTGATAATTATTTGGAACACCGTAACAGAACTAAAGACATATACCTCAACAAAAAGGTGAGGTAAACAAAAATGTTAAAACTTCAAGCATCCAGTTGTGTCTCTGTTTTGATTTAAATTGTAATTCTCTGTTTATTTCTTATGTTATATCATCGCATACGAAGCCGCGGGTACAAGCTAGTTCATCACATATCACAAGACACCAGTTGCAATGGGGTGTAATTAAATAGTATGTATGTATAGAGCTCCTTAATCGTGCTTTACTGCAGGGTTCACTTAACCTTAGTAAAACTTTGATCGTATTTAATACGCTGTGCTTCATTTAGGTGTTTTACTTGACCATGCATGTCAATTAAATAACATGACAGTAAATAATATGACAAGTAATAACTTGGAAGATAACATGAAGTACTAAAATCTAAATATTGATTAATTTTGCATTGAAATCCTAAGTATAAATTACACGGAGAAATAAGATACATATTTCTCTGTGGATATTATCACTGCAAATAATATTTAATTGCTCTGTATTTGCAATCATATCTATAATCAATGATCACTAATGCAAGCCATTTTTAAATGCCATAAATGATGTTTTGTGTTGAATGTTGAACTATGTTATTCATAATTGGTAAAAAACAAACAAATATTATTCAATTGCAATAGTCAAATCGCCCAAGACAATCTGTTCAGTATTATTCAATCCTTGATTAAATGGCGCCTGACTGACAATGACGATGAGCTGTTGTACTACTGAGCATTAGTATGGGTATGTAAGAGAGTATATGTATTAGATGTTACATACCTTAATTAGGGTTGTGTAATTGATAACATTTAATATTAGTCCAGGCAAATTAGACCAAATATAGGGTGTGCTCCCCAAAAAATCGTCTAAAGCTGGAAAGTGTTTTAATACCTTTTGGGGGTCCCAAATAAGACTCGTGTGAGTTTGCGACGGATTCTGACGTCTGCTTAAGTTTTGGGAGTCGAAAAACTATGAAAATTTTGCACTTTTTTCAGTTTTTCGCTTATAACTCCTAAATAACGAATTCTAAGGAAAATATTGTTCACAGGTGTCTTTTAGTGCATCAAATTCCGCGTCGATTGATGTTAAATACGTCAAAATCGGCCGAGCCGTTTAGCCGCTGTAGCTTTTCAAAGTTGGAATATTTTCAATAACATGGCCAAAAGGTTGATTATTTGACCAGTTTTCGGCTTACAACTCCTAAACGACGCATGCTATACAAAAATGCACCTGTAGTTAGTTTGGAAAACACAAAATTCTGCGTATGATGTTTTCTTTATTAATCAATAACGGCAATTGATTTTTACCTACTTTGTATGGTCGCCATTTCATTGAAAAAAGTTTTAAAGTTAAAGTTGCGAAATTTACTAAAATTGGTAACAACATAGATCCTGTCCTTAAATGGATTATGAATTATTAGATAGTGGTTTATTCCATGATGGTCAACCAGAGGATTATTTTATAAGGTGTGATGAGAGTAAGACACCCTATGTAATTTTAAGTCTAATATTTTTGTCTGAGGTTCCGAAAATTCTAGATCCCAACCACCCATTATACAGGGTGAGTTTTAATTGTCCCCCCCCAACTTTTTTCTAAATTTTTTCAAATATCAATCCCAGACCACTTTCAAACATTGTTGGGTAGTAAGTACTTCATTTTGACAAGGTGGTCATTTCCGGCCGCCATCTTGGATCCGCCATATTGGATGCAAAATATGTTTTCCACATGTGAAGGGGGTGTTGTGACCCATCATTTCGAACTATTTTTTTAAGCTAAACTCAATGCCGCAATCAATTTTTTGTTACCAAGTTTTATTTATCAAATATTGCAATTTTTTTGTTAAAAATGTCTATATTTCAACATCAAAATATCAAAATGAAAAACGGATCATGGAATTGATTTTAACTTAAAAAATAGTTTGAAATGATGGGTCACAACACCCCCTTCACATTTAAAATAATTCATCACATTTCAAAATGGCGGCCGATAAAAATACATCAGTCATAACCAAGTGAAAATACGTCAACAAATGACAAATGACAAATGACAAATGACAAATGACAAACTTTATTGCCTTTAAAACATGTTACATGCATGGCATCGTCCGGGAAGAATACAGTAAAATAATAATTAACATTAGGCCTAGTATACATCCAAGACTTCTATTTAACATTCTATTGACTAGACCTATAAGTTGAAATATAGATTGGGTTGAGACAAATATTCTACAAACTCATTCACATCATATATACAAATATCTAACAATAAACTTTTTAAACATCTTTTAAATTTCTTATCATCTAACAACTTAATATTTTGAGGAAGAGAGTTAAAGATTCTTTTACCTGTTTCAAAAGGTGAATTAATAGTAGCTTGATAATTGCACTGATTGACTCTCAAAAAACTATTTTGTCTAGTACAATGACTATGAACTAAACTATTGGTAGGAAACTCATTTATGTTAGACTTAATATATTGCAATAAATTTAACACATACAATGCAGGTACAGTTAACACTCTTAGTTTTCAAAAAAGTGGCTTACAGTGGGTTCTTCTCCTTACTTTACACATTACTCTCAAAGCTCTTTTTTGTAACACTAACAATTTCTTAATATTATTATCACAGCCCCAAATCACAATACCATACATCAAGTGACTTTGAATTAGAGAGAAATAAACTGCTAACAAAATATCTAAGCTTACTATATTACTAAGTCTTCTGATCACAAAAGTGCTTCTAGAAACCTTTTTACATACATTTGAGATGTGGGTGTTCCATTTAATATTTGGTTGTAAAGACAAACCTAAAAACTTAACGTCTTCACTAAAATCATAATTATTGTGATCAAATTTGATTACTTGTGTTTTTTCTTTGTTAAGACATAAGCAATTAGCTGCTGCCCAGTCTTCTATTATTAAGTTAAAGTGACACAACAATTGATTGGCTAAACTATGACTAGAACAATTAATCTGAATAGCTACGTCATCTGCATACATATAAGGAGACACACAAGCATTGCTAAGTGATGCTGATAAATCATTAACATAAATAATAAACATAGTTGGGCCAAGAATTGAACCCTGTGGTACTCCTATCTTGACATTTAAATATTCTGAAAAACAGCCTTTAAAGCACACACTTTGAAACCTATCTGACAAGTAAGATTGAATAAGACTTGTTGATTTAACATTAAAACCATAATATATAAGTTTATCCACTAGTACCTTGTGATCTATTGTATCAAATGCTTTTGACATATCATAAAAACTACCAAAAACATGTTTTTTACTATCTAAGCTAAATATACATTCTTTCATAAAGTTTAACATGGCCATACCAGTTCCTCGGTTAGGTCTAAACCCATACTGACTACAAGAAAACAATAAATTTTCTTCAAAATATTTAATAATCTGTCTATTCATTAACATCTCAAGAACTTTAGATACTACAGGAACAATCGACACTGGACGATAACTAGCATATTCATTTTAGCGAATTTCCCTATAGGGAAGTAGCTATTACCGTAGGTCTCATGGTAAGACTTAGGCCCGGGACCGATTTACTTTTTCATTTTAATGTCCCCAGAGGCCAAAAACACCATTCGTTCAAATTTTTATATATGTATATATATATATATATAGATATATATATAGATATATATATAGATTTATATATATATATATATGTGTCCGTGAACACGATAACTTGAGTAATTTTTATCCGATTTTGATGAAATTTGGTTTGAAGGTGTAAGGCGGGATAAACTTGAATGAGTTCGCGATCCAGCATGATCGGACCATGGGAACAGGGTTTTATGGGGTAAAAATTGGTTTTTCTCACTTCTTACCCTCAAAACACAAAATTTCCCAATTTTTCTCTAAACCTTCTTAAAGAGCTTAAAAAGACAAACAATTTAGTATATCAAAGTGTTTTTGTACGGTTATTGGTTACGGAGAAAACTAAAAAAATGGTAAATTTAAAATTCCCATGTTATTTTTATGGAGAAAATTGTAAAATGTTGTAGTTTGCTTGTTTATGGATATATTTTGATCAAACTTGGCAAATTTATTTATTTTATAGTAAGCTATCAATATTTTACTATTAACACACTACTTTATTAGTTTCCTTGTAGCAGCAAACCTTGGTACTCGTTAAACCTAAATGTTATTTAAATAGATCAATTGAAAATCAATTCGGCCAAATGGGAATTCGCTTAGACGGCAGGTTTGCTGCGGCGGGGGTATTTTCCTCC